TCCTGATTATGTTCCAAGTGAGAAGAAAGGTTTCACCCATCTAAAACTGATGTCCCAAAAATGTTGTCATCTGGTCAGACACTAGAAAGAAATCTCCTCTGAAATTATTACAAACCAGTGTACTTGGGGATGTTTCAGGCCATCTCTGGAACTGAAAAGAAATCCTGCTTGCCTACATCCATCTCTAAGTCATTCCTCTGGGTAATCTAGTTATTTCACCCCCACTGTTTGCTGAGGAAGCAGAGCTTAAAAGGCACCCAGGTCTGAACAGACGCCCACGGGTCACGAGAGCAGCAGATCAGCAAAGACAAATATTGATGGTTGCAATTTTCTTTCAGCCTCCCCAAAGCCAAGGTTACACTTCCACTATTCAGGCAGGTCACCCCATGTTTAGACAGTGAAGTGGTGAGACTGGAGTGGGGGAAGCAGATTTAACAACTCAGTACCCAGCTTGCTGTGACAAATAAAAAACCAATTTGCTGTTTTCCTCTAACTACATATTGTATTTGTTCCAATTTCTTGTCTCACTTTCTGCGACAATCAGAGTCTTCACAATGTTAGTTAACCTGAAAGAAAATAGTCAGCTGAAATCTGTACTGGATTTCCCCACACCCAAAACAACAGCTGCTCCTGTGACCACTTAAGGCTTTCAATGTGTCACATACTCCTCAATGCAAGCTTTACTTTACTGAGCTGGTACTGCTTTTATACAAGAGCCCACGCCCACACAGAGTCTATACAACTTCATTTACATCTACAATAAAGATGGAAAAATTTTACCATGCCAAGAAAGCTGACTTACTAAACAAGAGCTACCACCTGAAGGGTATATTTAGAAATTAGAGGACAATTTAGAAAGAGAGTCACACAACATAAGCCAGAAGAGTAATGAAAAGTAGAGAGAGTGAGAGTTTCTTTCAGGTGTTGAGCAATCCCAAACTGCATCAGTGAACACCCAGACTGACACAACTCTTTTTCACCTCACCAACAGCAAAACCCTACACTTAGGTACCATTTTTCATTCATCCATCTCAAATTGCATTGCAAGAATTAAAGTGTTGAATTTAGCATCCCTCTCTGCAAACTGATGCACAGACCTGAAGTCCAAGGTTGTGCAAAGACAAACACTAGGGACACACTTTTTTCCCTTTGACAGAACAACTTGCCCAAAGAGTTTGTGTTTGTTCCTTAAAACACTTTTTAAACATCCAAGATCTGCTAGGACTGTATGACAGTTATTCCTGAATAATGATTGCACCAGATGACTTGGATGAGACACAAGGGGAAGCAGAGGGACACCCAGTTGTAAGGAGCTGACACAGAGAATTGGAGCCCTGACAGCAGAGACAGCAGCTCTCTTTGGAGCGGGGTTCATGAAACCAACCCCATCTCCTGTGCTCTCAATCCAAGGATTGCAACATCAACATGTAAAATCAGTAGCAAAAGCCCTTACTGACCAAGAAATCATAGAATCATAGAATCTTAGGGGTTGGAAGGGGCCTTGAAAGATCATCTAGTCCAACCTCCCTGCCAGAGCAGGGTCACCTAGAGTACATCACACAGGAATGCATCCAGGCGGGTTTTGAATGTCTCCAGTGAAGGAGACTCCACAACCTCCCTGGGCAGTCTGTTCCAGTGCTCTGTCACTCTCACAGTAAAAAAATTTTTTCGGATATTCACCTTGAACTTCCTATGCTCCAATTTACACCCATTACCCCTTGTCCTATCACTGGTCATCACCGAGAAAAGCCTAACTCCGTCCCCCTGACACTCACCCCTTACATATTTGTAAACATTGATGAGGTCACCCCTCAGTCTCCTTTTCTCCAAGCTAAAGAGACCCAGCTCCCTCAGCCTTTCCTCATAAGGGAGATGTTCCACTCCCTTAATCATCTTCGTAGCTCTGCGCTGGACTCTTTCAACCAGTTCCCTGTCCTTCTTGAACTGAGGGGCCCAGAACTGGACACAATACTCCAGATGTGGCCTCACCAATGCAGAATAGAGGGGGAGGAGAACCTCCCTTGACCTACTAACCACACCCTTTCTAATGCACCCCAGGATGCCATTGGCCTTCTTGGCCACAAGGGCACATTGCTGGCTCATGGTCATCCTCCTGTCTACCAGGACCCCCAGGTCCCTTTCACCTACACTAACCTACTACTTCATATAATTAGAAATGCACAACACTTTTCCTTCACCCTCATCTCAGGAGCTGCTGTGCTGCAGCACAAGCGACTTTGTTCAACGGAAAGCCCAGATTGCCTGAGCTGCATCACCACAACTGAGTACAGCCTGAGTATTTTATTCCCCTCTTTCAACTGTTCTAGCTCAGTAGATGAGATTGATTTAAAACAAACAAAAAAACACCCAAAGCCCAAGCATACTGGATTTAAACTAGACACCCACAATTACATTTTCAGCAGAAAAGTTATAAAAGAAAGAGAAAATTACAATTTTAGGAGTGTGAAGATAGTCACTGGAATATTTTTATCAGAAGTGAGTCACAAAGCCTGAGAAGTAGGATTTTTAAAAAAAAATTCAACACAAAACCATCATCCCAAACCACAACAATGAGAAAGTGAAAAGCTACAGAAAGCTTAATCAAGACACTGGTTCCTGCAGATGTCAGAAGCAACAGGTTGTTCTTACACAGACACAAGGCATCTTACTAGAAAGGAGTAAACAAAACACAATCCTCTGAACCCAGAACAGCAAAGCTGCAGGGACCAGAGAAGCCTAAAGGTATTTAACAGTAGCAGAAAGGTCATTATGAGAGCCTTCCTATCCAAAGGCTGAATCCAACATACTAAGAAAGTACAAACTTGAATAGCAGGAAGGTGCATGTGAAGTCTGAACATGGCCTGGAAGAACAGGAAAAGTGAGGGAGAGAAGAGGACAGAGACCTTCCATTTGTTGACCAAGACTGCATTTCAGGGTTGAACATCACTGCAGTGTGTCCCCACACGTGTCTTGCCATGTGTGCTACATGAGTTGGCAGAAACAACAGCAGCAATCTATGCAACAAGTTCTAGGTTAAAACTCCTGATGTATGCCATGTACCAACCCCTCTCAAAAGAAACTTACATCTTCCTATCTACATGAAATACTTTTAAAAGAGTATTTTCTTCTGACAAAGTTTTTAGTTTTGTGTGAAAGTTTAATATTCTTAAGTCCATAATGACAAGAGTACAAATAATTGACATTAAAGGTTTGGAGATTTTTTTTTTAAGCACAAGGTCAGAGTGAACAGTCAAAGAAAGCTCTGCCATCAACTTAACAAGGACAGAAGCATGTTAAGTTGTTTAAAGTGCAATTTAGTACCAATCCTAAGACACCGATTTATTTCCTGTAGCTGTTCTCCATGCTTTCAACAGTACTTGTACCACACTGCTCTGAAATTAGGTTCTGCCTGAGTGCCAGATCTCTGTGGCTTAGAGTCCTTTGCTGGTATTTTCATTGCAGTAAAACTGTAAGAACCATAAGCAAGTTAGTGAGATTGAGATGGCTCGTGGGATCATCATGGGAAGAATGAATCATCTCCCTTGGAAATAAAAATGTTTATGATCACTGCTTCTATTCTGCACATAGATTATTGAGACATGCAACTTTTACAAGGGTGTTGATATTTATATGATTCTATAAATTTAGACATTGCATTACAAACAGTATGAAGTTGTAGCTATAAATAGTGGAGCAGTGGGATAGAATCTTCAGCTATTTCTTGTTTCCTTTGCACCATAACTGAGATGTATGGCACAATTTAAGGAACTGGAGGAAAGAAAATAAGGCAACAGAAAAAAACCCATGTGAATCTCCATATTTTAGATGGTGGCACAAAGCCTAGACTTCAAACAACAAACAACACTTAAAAAATCAGCCCCTGAGATTTAAATCGAAATGTTTAACCATGACTAAAAGGCAAGTAGATTCCAGAGGTTTTGCTGATTATTACCATATTTTTATCAAATCTATTTTGGGAATAAATTTCCATGGTATGTTTTCAGAGTCAATGTGAGAAACTAACACCTGCCCTTGACAAGAAATATTCTGAGACGCAAATGCACAATTTAATCAAAATACCACATTTGTTTCTAAACCTTGGTTGATGCTTTTTTTAGTACTCACAACACCATGGATGTAGGAGACATTCCTCCAGAAGGCTAACTAATAAATTCCCACCATGTATTGAAACCAGACAAACCAGTAACTCTTGATAAGCTTTCCAAACTTTGACAATATTCTTAAGAGCTTACTTCCAGAGTTAGATTTGTCAGGCAATGACTGTAACAGCAGTTAAAGCCTAAGGCTTAATCCCAGGTTCCTGAAGCCAACCAGCAACCTAGTACTGATGCAGACAGCAGTTATTTCATCTTTCTTTTTTTGTTTTTCTTAAAAATGCTTCTTGCATTAGTCTGCACCCTCATTTCCATTTCTCTGCTCAATTAACAAGTTAGTTCAAAGAGGAGATGACACCTGGTGCAAGTGGTACTTTTAGAGCTAGGTTCTATCTTTCATTTATTCATTATATCCTGGTTATATTATATCAATAACAGCTGGGGGGAAAAAATATGCACTAAATTACCATTTCAAAAGTACACTGAAATACTTCTGGACCCTCAGATACTCCCAGACATGCCAGACCATGATTGCACATGAGGAAGATCCATCCTACCATGCTACTTGGCTCTGGTGATGGGACTGACACACTCTGCAACAAGCTAAAACAGAGCCAGAAGCTCCACAGTGGGGATCCACACCTACTCTAGGAAAAGTCATGATCTGTGCCACTGCTGCCTTTTTGCACCGGGAAATGCAATTACTCAACACAGATACTGTTTCCACAAGGAAATGGCCACCCCAGGCAGAACAGATCAGATAAGTGGTTTTAACAGCTCTTAAATTGTACTTCAATGATTATTTTGTTATACTGATGTCTTTCAAAAAGCATCAGTCAGGTAGAAACTGTAAGCCTTTGCTTTATTGTCCACAACAGACATCCTCTACAGTGGTTCTTCACACTGAATTGACGGAGTTTCCCATGTGTCCTCATCTTCCAGGTGAGCCACCTGTGAAGTCTGATCTGCAGGTGCTTTCTCACCCTGGCCTATTAATGACACCTCTTCTCCTCCTGCTAACTGAAGGTCAGTGCTATGAGAACAATGAGATTCATCAAGTTTGTCCGTCGAAGACTCTGCTGTAGTTGTGCAGGACTGTTCAGTCTCTGTTTCAGCTTGTGGGGCTGTTTTAAAACTAAGTCCAAACAGGTTATTTTGGACGAGGTAACGAACACACTGCAAAACCACATTCCTCTCGTGTCGGATGTCCTGGGCCAGTAACTGGAAAGAAGCAAAGAAAGAAAAGATGAGGCACATTTCCCCTCTCATTGCTCCATAGCTGATACCAAGCTAGCAAGACGTATGGCTCTACTCAGTAATATTCAACATTTCTGAATTTAAGTAGCTGGTTCTCTCAAGTCCTGAACACACAAAGCAGGAGACTGCCTCACCAGACAGCGCAGGAAAGCCACGTACCCCCACATTTGGTGCTTTCCCTCCAACTGACTGGGGCTTTGGCAGAGCCAACAAACATGTTTGAAAGCACTACCACACAGCTTGCTGAGCTGGGTGGTCTTAGGGCACCAGCTTGTGCTGATCAGACCCCTTATTGCATTAGTTCAACTCACCAGCCAGGAGAAAATTAACCTTACAATTAGCACCAAGTGGGGTGTTCTGTTGTCTCTTATTGCTTGTTTGGGTTGGTGTATTTTTTGTTTGTTGTTGTTTTGTTGTGGCTTTTTCTTTTAGGGACAAATATTTAGAGACAACTGGATGGGGTCAAAAAAAGGCCCAGCATAGCAGAGAAGAGGTGGGACCAGGCATCTGGAAAGGAGGCCGCAGGGAGAGAGCTGCCCTCCTGAGCAGCAGCAGGCTGCAAGAGCAGCACAGGCTGGTGCTCAAACACCACTTCCAGTGATTGCAGCTCATAGTGGCCATGATTCACTATGGTACTGGTACATGACTGTACCACTGAAAAGGATGAAAAATACTCAAGCGCCCAAAATGCACACGTTTAAGCTCCACTCCTTCAGTGCCATTAATGCACTAAGGCAGGTAGAACAAGCTGACAAATCTGATGGTACCTTTGGATTAAGCTGTCAGTCTCAGCTTGCTCAGGTGGCTGAGAACATCACTGAACATACCTAAATACTAGGAACTTTCCCCCCAGTTATCTGACTGTAGACCCAGATCATGATGATGTTCTCACACAATGGACTAAAATACTAGGCCACAAATTCCAGTACATCAGGATTGGAAGCCTATTAGCATCTGCTGCACTTTCCAGGTTATACTGTATCTGTAATTTAATATCCCATGCAATTTTTATCAGAAAACCTTTATGAGTAAAAGATACTTCTAAATACAAGAAAAGGGCATGTTTCATCAGGTACCAGACTGGGGATTTAAATAGCAATAATTGCTTTGGGCTATAATCCACCAACCTAAGTCAAGTAGCTTAATTGAAGTGCTAGAGGCCTCCATCTCCTTTAACCTCATTGAAGTTCAGTTTGATATTGAGAAAAAAAATGAATCAGTGAGAAGGCTGAAGGATCTTTTGTCATTGCTAGTGTCAGCAGAGCTAGTACTCTGAACAAACAGGTCTCAAGCAAGTGGCTAATCTGTAACTACCTGATCATTTTCAGGAGATCTGCACTACACATTGCAGGAGGTCTAGCTAAATTTGGCTTGCAATGTTGCAGAGAAGCTTTTTTTGTTGTTGTTCTAAGTTTCCACAGTGGTTTAACCAGCCACTTGAAAGGCTGCATATTTTCTATTTAGACTAGTTACTAAGAGGTGTCACAAGCCACTGACACCTGAAAGGGGCTTTCAGTAATCTCCTGTCTGAACTAAGAGGTGCACATTAGGGGAGAGAAGGGATAGCACAGTGAGGTTCTCTTTGGAGTGGGAGAAACAGCTGAACTCCCAAGCGGCCAAAAAAAAGAAAAAAAAAAGGCACAGGTGGAATGCACCATCATTCTATCAAAGACTGTATCTTTGTATTGTTTTTTAAAGCAGGGATGGCTATCAGTGGAGTGATGCTACACAAGCTTTTGATTTTGTCAGCATACAGAATGGCTGAGCTTGCATGGCTTCAATAAACATGATTTAATAGTGCCCAAGCTCACTGCAGAATGACTGCCAAGAGACATTTGCAGCTATTCTCCTAGCTCCTGTTCTACCTGTTCTTTTAAAGCATCGTTTTACTGATACAACATCCTTAGGAATTCTGCTTCCTCACTTTTGGATAATTTCCCCACAGTGACTCACTGTAAAATTCCCATCTTGTTTCCTCAAGGTTTTATAAACTGACCGTTTCTGACAGCAGAGGCCTACCTAAAAACCTCAGGTGCTCCTCTGTGATTCAGACACAGTACACATCCTTTCACAACAGTTTTGAGCAACATTAAAAGGCAAAAAGAACCCAAAACACCAAAATGCAATTTTAAGAATAGAATACAGTGGCAAGCTAGAATCCAGGCTTCCTGTGCTCTGCCAGCTTCTCTCAGCACGTGGGACTTCATCTGACTTTTTTCTAGAGTCCTCACTGCTTTGATCACCAACAACTGTGAAGAGCAAGAGATAAAGACAACCGCATGCTTAGGGAGCTACACAAAGGGCAAACACTCCCTTCTCAGTCACTGGGATCTTTAATTCTTGGCAGCAAGACCAGTATGTGCTAAAAGGGATCAAGGGATCCCTATCAAGAGATTTCTCCTACATCTGCAGCTTGGGATGTGCCGTATCAGTTATCTTTTGCCTAAATATCCTGTGCTGCCTCAGTGTCCTGATATTAGTAACACCCTTCTCTTCCCTCTGTTCTGCCCACGGAAAGTTTTCCCTTGATGGGGCAGCTTTATTCTGGCTACTCAGAGAATCACAAGGCTAGCCCACCCATCTGTAAATGCAATAAAAACTTTCAAGTTTTGTTTATACTAAAGAAAGCCACCAAGCTTCCAAATGTGATGGTTTACACTGAACAGAATCATAACACCTTGGACTCACCCCTATAAACCTGTTTTTACTCTTTTTAGACACCAACCTGCTCTTCAGGTACCAGTGCAGTGTTACTTCCTCAGATTGATGTGCCTACAGAGAAGAAACTCATGGGCTTGCAGGCTGCAGCTCAACACCACTCTACAGTTTAAGTCACCAACACCCTTATTAACAAAAATCTGACTGCACCCAAGAACATTGTGTGCTCCTTGATCAGAGGAAGGCAGTGGAATAGTAAGGCCAGGAGCAAAGGGAGGAAGACCAGAATAAGGCTGAGATCACAGGCAAACAAAACCTACTGGGAGGGGAGAGGGAGGAATACAGGTTTCTGTCCTTTGTGCTGTTCATTTTAGGCACATGATTAAGTTGTCAACTCTTGCTCACCAAAGTCAGTCATTACCTGAATGCACATCAGGGGATTTCCATTTGTGTATTTAAAAATTTATACCTTCCCTGAGTGAAATGCTCACTTTGCTGTTTTTAAGACAGGACCTTTGCTAACAGACTGCTCTAACTTCCCACAGGAAAGGGGAGAACTGCTCACAAAGAGTGCTACTCTTGTACAGGAAGCATTATTTTAGCACAATACTTACCATTTCCAGCAGAGTTGGACGGTGCTTTGGAAGGGGAGGTAATGTTTTCTTGCCCCTGTGACCAGGCCCTCTTTGGGGACGTGCGTTTGAATTTGAGCTTCTCAACATCGTGCCTGAGTGTTCTGGATGTTTTTTATTCTGGCTTTGACTCGGAGGAACAGAAGTAGTTTCCTGGGTATTTCTGAGCTCCTCCTGGTTTTTCTCAGCTTTTGTTGCAGTCTTGACTGGGATTTCTTAAGAGAAAGAGAACACACTTTTATCTCGACTTAAAAGCTTCTTTAACATGCTTACATTCCCATGCACTGGCAGATTGTTAAGACACTGTTCTCACCCACAGAACCTAATGTGAAGATGCTCAAGGCTTACTTGGAAGAAGGGAGGGTTTTGTTTGATTTGGGGTTTCTTTTAAATTACAAAGAATAATCTCTAAACATTTGCAGAAAGGAAAACAAGATCCTTAAATTCTGCAATACAAGAAGAAAAACGGAAGTAGTAAGCACTGAACAAGGTTCTCAAACCTCTGCCTTGTGATCACTTAGAAAGTACATTGCATCTGCTTCATGATAGAGCTGGCTGCAAATTTGGCTGCTGAGAAAAAGATGATGCAGTTAGGGTAGAGGATGTCCAGGTCAATTCCCTGCCTGCTAGATGCTCCGTGTGACTTTGTATCAGCCAACCTGGGGCAAGTAAGGTACAGTAACTAATTGCAAAAACAAGGATCAGCAGCAGTTCTGTACCCTACACCAACACATGCACTCAGAGAAGCACAAAATTCAAGTCCTAGAGAGTTCAAATCTTACTGCAACAGCCAGAAACCTTCTATGGAAAAAGCCCTTAAGGACATGGAATTTAGTTCATGTGGTGAGCATAACAGCTTTTTCCTGGCACAGTTCAAACCTGATTTGAAGTGAGAGTGAAGGCAAGCTACTTTCTTTTTTTCCCCAACTAGGGGAAAAAAGGCTTGGGAAATTTGATGACACACACTACAGCCAAAGACATTTTATACTCCACCCCCTTTAACCCAGGACATGCTGAGAAAAGTCAAGCAAAGAGGAGGGGGGAAAAAACCCACCCAAATTTTCAGCCAACCGAGGCTTTCTAAAGTATGCTGTACAGCTAGAGGAAAAAAAAAGGCATTAGATGTGGCACAAGCCAAGCAGACAAGGCCATTCCCCTGCACTAGCTGGCTGCACAAATGCTGTGTTCCGTCCAGGTGCTCCTCTGAGATCAGGAGCTATCACCATACTGGAAATAAGTAATGTCTCACCCAGTAACCCCAGTTTATGCTCAGAACTGGGAGGATGGAGGAATAGGGAAACAAGAAGCACAGAATGACAGCATAACCTTTTACTCCTCCCAGCCTGTCTTTATGCATGGCTTACACCAGTACCAGCATGCCCGGTCACTGAAAGCAAACCAGAAAGGATCTGTTCACAGACTGCAAAAACAACCTTGTGCATAACCTTTAACAAGCTTCTCTCTTCACTGGTATAAGCCTAAAACTCAACAGGTACAAGACAGCTCTGAATTACAGCTCTGGTAGGCCAGAAATTAAAAGGCCTTTCCACGACTATGCGTTCTGAAGACATAGCCACTGAACTGCCATCACTTCAACATATTTGATAAGTGTAAGCCACAGCTTACATGTTGCATTTCCTTCTCCAATGCCTTTGATCTCTCTTAAAAGTTTTTCTCAAGGAATTGTAAGTACTAAATAGGTTCTGATCAATAACCTGCAACTTTCAGCAGTGAGGACACAGCCATAAAGAACTACCATTGGGCTACTGGCCTCATAAATACTGTCTTTATAAATACACAGGGGATGGACAATGGGATGGAAGACAAAGGACCAATGACAGGAGAGGTGGAGCCTCTCACTCTTCCCAAAAGGCAATTTGTGATCAGGTTTTATGACTGCTTGCAGTCCACACCAGTGCAGAGACACAGGGGAGAAGGGCAGAGGACAGACTCCCACACACCTTCAGGCTCACTGTCAGATGTGCTGTCATAGTTGACCGACAGAGACGTCAGGGCAGAGGTGACCAGCTTGGGAACAACAGTCAGTCCCTGCCTCCCATCTTCAGCTGCTGCTTCATCCTTGTCAGATTCTGCAGGGAGAGAAAAAGGCAAGAGGAATTTTTCCCAATGCTCCTGCATGTCCACAGCCAGCCTTGCTGCTAAATGCCCATCTTGCCACTACACAAGCCTGACACTGGGCATCACTGCTGCTCAACACCATGGACAGACATGAAAACCCCACAGCTGCCTACCCCCTACAGACATTTGGTGGCAAAGTTGCCTTCATCACTGGTTTACAGTCGTAACAGCAAAGCAACAATATTTTTTTTTTAACAAGAGCTTGAGCATTCTGGTTCTTTCTTCACATACCAAACATAATTATAGGTTTTATTATCAAGTGTAGGTGAAGAGAGAGAGAGAGGATTTCATAATATATTTTGAAGTCTTGCTGCAGAGGCGGGGAGGTGAAGGATTCAAAAGCCAGTTGGGGCGGTGGGGCTGGTGGGAATGGAGACTTAGGCTCATTCAAACTGAGAATTTAAGAGCAAAGACATTTTTGGACATTAAAAAAAGTTTGTAAGGGGCACTGAGAACCATGGCTACAAATTAGAATATCAGTTTTCAGCAGTACTTCAGACTTTTTGGTACTTAACTCTCCACAAAGCATTCCGAACATGCACAAAAAAGCAAGGTATTAGTCTCAAACTAACCCAAAACAGAACACCAGGAAGCTAAGAAGCAAGTGGACTATAAATATTGAAATAGAGGATACTATGAATCTTAGGTTAGGAGTTGGAAGGGATCTCCAAAGATCATTGAGTCCAACCCTCCCTGCTGTAGCAGGACCAAAAACTAGGGCAGACAGGTCTTGAAAGTCTCCAGAAAAGGAGGCTCCACAACCTCTCTGGGGAGCCTGTTCCAGTGGTCCATAACCCTCACAGTACAAACATTTTTCCTCATGTTGAGGTGGAACTTCCTGTGCTTGAGTTTTAATCTATTGCCCCAAAGCAGCACCAGGAAAGAAGATTCCTAATAAATAAACATACAAAATTGTGATGGCTTTTGTTTAAAATAAAGAAACTATATGCACTAAAATCTTGGAAGTGCCCTCAGGTGAACAGTGCTAGAGAGTTATGAGAAAAACTAGGAAATGCTTCAGTAATACCCCTGCATACAAATTTCGTATATTCACACACACTAGTAGAGAAACATTTTGATAAACTAGCCTAGTGAGACTTCTAGAAAAAGACTGGTTGCAATCTTATTTTCACGGAGAAAATAAGTTGTGCTCTCTGGCATCCCCTATCTGTCTATGGCTGCTCCACAGGAAAGCTGCCTCACACTTTTAAATAAGATTTTACTGAAATTAACATTTTGGAGATCTTTGTTTTCAAATCACAAATGTTTCTCTGTTCTCTTCTATGGCAATTGGACTCATTTGAGCTCATGCTGATGGAAAAAAATAACTTTCAGATAAACACACAGGTATTTATCTAAACTGTGTATCTAAACACACAGGTATTTATCTAAACTACTTACCTGCCTGCTTTTGCTTTGAGCTCTTTTTGAGAAAGGCTGATTCTCATTGATTTAGTAGTTGTGTCAATTTGAAATTACATTAAAGGTCATGCTAATTAAGTGCATTTTTTAATGGAGAATACATAGCACCTGCATATACTTAAGCAATAATAAAAACAGCATTTACCTCAAGTTGTTTTGATTCATTACCACTTTTTTCCATCTAATCCAAAATGCACACTGTGCATACCATGGCTTTTTGTTTTCTTTACACTTTAAAAATTTAATTTGCTTTTTAGCAAATTAGTAAGACACACAAGAATACATTTTCTCCTTGAGAGTTAACATGTCTGGAGGGACCATTATGCACTACTGAATACAACTGTTCCTGGTCAGTAGATCCCTCAGCATTTTACACTTGACAAGCTCATTTAATCTTCTTTCTGCCTATAAATGGAGAATAAAATTGCTTTCTCATCTCCCATTCAATTTCTTAGCTTTGAAGGAACTAAAGAGAACTTAAGTGAATGCAGTAAGCAAAAAATACACTCCCTCTCAAGAAAGGGCTGCTGCTTTTAGAAAGGTTAAAATACTCCAACAAAATGTACCTATAGAGTAAAATCATGAACTTCAGTTGTACAATTATATATATTTTTTTAATTCTACTTACACTGTGTTTCTTATTATTTGTTATGACTGTATCTCTCAACAGTATAAAAACCTGCAATTAGCTTTAATAACACGTAATAAGCAAGTACCACATCCTTTTCTACCTATTATAACAGAAGGTATTAGCTGTGCTTTGGTATAATTAAGACTTTTTATCATTACATAAAACACAGATGCTGCAGGGAAATACAGGAGGTCTTTAGCATACTAAAGTTTCCCAACATGCAGAGATTAGTAGAATAAACAAGCATAGGAATGCTGATTTCTTGCTCCCATTAATTGAAGGCTAAGTTTTCAAGAGGAAAAACTCACCTTTCTAAGGGATGCATTCTAGCCTTGCTGCTAAAAATAGCTAAGTCAGCTTAACATGCCATATTGTAAGAGTACTGCATCACTGCTGACTATATTATAGTTATAACTGAAGAGTTTCTATTGCTGTCACTATGTGGAAACAAGACATGATCATCAAAAAAATAAAGCCTAGGCAGCAATACTTCAGAGAACACACGCATGGAGAATATCAAGAGTAAGTTGGATAACACAGCAAAAAACAGAAAAATTACATTTTAAGTAATTCATTTAACTCACACAAGGAAATCAGTTTGTTTTGACATTCTAAATACTGTTATTTTCAAAACCACAAAGGGATATTTTATAGATATATATATCTCTTTAAAAAAAATAATTTGTTGAAGTAATTCTGATTCCTAATTATCACAGAAAAATAAAAAAAACATAAGTAGTCTGTATGTTTGTAATATGATCAATTCAGCTTGCAAGCGAACATATATAGAAGTGTTTAATACTGGTAGTATTCTTCTGTCAGCTTCTCCGAATCAGAATTTTTCTTCCTCTTCAATGACATGATATTTCAGCTTCTTTCCAAACCCTATCTCAGCTAAGTCAACTAGTTTTAGCTTCAGTCAGATAGACACTCATGTCTCAAAGACCTCTAGAATACTGAGAGTTCTCTCTGTAAGAGGCCAAGCCTACTAGGGCAGAAGCCCAGGGAAAGCTCACTGAAATGCAAGGTTTATCCCATTTCCTTTAGATAAAGCACCTACTCACTCTTTCACAATAACCACACTGGGAATTTTCTTAGAAAACCATGTCCTGAATGAGGATCTGAGGAAAGTTCTAAGAGCAAGTTTTAGGCACAGAGATGTTGGACCACCTTCAGGCTTATAACCTTGTTGAGCCTGGCACTATTCTGGGCACAATACTGCAGTCCTGGGCTTTTTGTTAGTAACAATGAGAAGGTCAGTATGACAGGCTCCCCAGTGTTCTTCTCCAAGAATACAGTAAAAGATTGATGCAAGACTACAAACAGAGTTTTCCCATTTTAAACATGCTCAGTTAGCTCTCTTTCAATGAAGGACAGAGTTTACATGGGTTTTGGAAATGCCCAGCTCTCCCTACAAGTTGCTAGTTATGCAAAAGGTCAGTAATCGACTCAGCAGTACTACTTAAAACTTCTCCAAGTTCTTTCATCTTACCAACATCACCGTTTGCCAAAAGACTGAGCGGGTCCATGTCCTTCACACATGGCTGAGCTGCCAAATCACCCTGTTTTTCATGTTCCTTTTCACATGTGTTGTTTACTGGTCCATTAGCTTCATTTTGAGCTTTATGTGCATTATGATCACCACCATTTTCCCTAGATTTCTTCCAGAATGGGCGCCTTTGTCTTCTCCTCTGTTTTCCTTGCTGCCCAAACCTCCCTTCATTTTCTGCAGGTTTCCACATTCCCCTCATTTTCCTGGAGAACAGAAACACAAAGCTCATGATAATGACAAGCAATAAGAATAAATGTGACTGATATACCCAAAGGGTTCAGGCCCACATTTAAGGTTCAGCAACACAGCACGATGCCAGGACTTACTCCAGCTCAGCTAACACGTGGTGACAGACCAGACAGGCAGTCACAGCTCATCTCATTGGCAGGCCAATGTGACAAAGCTGGAACCTAAATGAAGATTTTTAAGTTCCTGACTTTTATCTCTTGAAGAGGCAAAGGATACATGAGCTAAGCAAGTTCCCTAATCACCTGCAATGTGAGGATGCAGTGTTTTCTGTTTGCATGATGAAGTCAACAAATATTCCCCTCACATAAGCAATTAAGTCATTCAAGAGGGAGAACGTGGTATGAAAAATGAAGCATCTGCTATAAGCATACTTCCACTGCTACAGCTCAGAGAAGGAACTTGCTGCACTAAATCTACTCAGCCATTTGACACCATCAGTCGCAACGACTGACTGCTCCTGCCTCCAACTAACATGCCATTCAACCTTTTCACTCCAATGGAAAAAGAATAAAAGAAACTTCTATCAGGACAATGGATTTCTTAAAAACCAAAACAAAATAACAAGTCCTAAAACATGGGAAGATCATAGCACGCTGGTTCCACTTACTTTCCATGGTTCCATAATCATTCAGGTTACCCTATTATAAATACGAAAAATGAGAGTCTAAACTTTTGTAAAATTTTATAGATACAAGAATAGGTGTGGCCTAGAAAAGAAAATGTAGAAGGGACAACCTAAGCTTCCTGAAAATACTTGGTTTAAAGCAACAAAAACTTCATTCAGCAAAACAAGACTGCAACTGATCATGAGCACGTTACAACCACAAAAGACATACAAGATCTGTCATCATGAAGGAACCCTCTGGTTTGTTCTGCCCAGTTCTCTCTCCCTCAGAATTAGCAGTTGGTAAAGCACTTCAGAGCACCACAAATGGAAAGCACTGTACAAGTGTTAAGTACCTAATCCTTTCTAAATCTTACTTAGCTATTTGCTTTAATAGTACAGCTTGCAGGGAACAAGCTGTCTTCTATTTTTGTCTCACGCATCAGTAAATTTGCCAGATAAGCACCAATTCCAGAATCTTTACTGTCGATATACAAAGCAAAAATGACAGCTTTTTGGACAGTTCATCAAGCCTATAGTGCTAGCAATTCAGGGAAGGGAGGGGAAAAAGAAGATATTTCTAAAAATCAACCCGAGTAGAAGGTCACTAAATGAAATCAAACCACCTATAATTTTGAGGGCTCTTTTTCCAATCAATTTCCCAGATATAAAGGTGTTAAGAAGCCTAACAGTATGGAATTGCTTATGGACATTTAAGAATACATAACACCTGACTCACAGTCACAAGAGTCAGCAAAGAAACCTGTAGACACCAAATAGTTAGTTACTGTGGCAAGCAAAAGTCATCTTTGCTTGTAAGAATCTCCTAACATTGCACTACATATGTTTGTAGCTTTAGTCTCATTAGAGCCTTCATTTGGCTCTTTGGGTCCAAAGAACTTCTGCAACTTTATATCTTTGAAGGAAGTTTCACTTCAGTCTTTTACAAACGTTTCTTTCCAAAGCTATTATAAGTTAATTAGTTAGAGGGGGTGGGTAAGTGATGGGTACTCTGAAGCACATACTGCACCAAGGCAATTTGCACTGTCACCATTTAACAAATTACACCAGCCTGACAAGAACCCTATTCTGCATTAGTTCAACTGCTTGACCATGGTGCAAGTTTTATTTTGTTTGGTATCACCTCCTAAAAAAATCCAACAAAACAGGCAAGCTTCAGCTTCACTTCCCTGAAGCAGCAAATAGTACTTAGCAAGAGCCCCTTGGAGTCTGCTCCTGCCTTCCAGCTCAGTCATTCTAGTTTTAAAATGTAATATTCAAGGAGCATGGATCATCACATTTTTTTTAAGTCTCCCCACAGGCCCTAAAGTAGATCTAATGAAGTTGGCTTGTTCCACACAACACGGACACTGAGGGAAAAAGAACAAAGACCACACTAGAAAGCATTTCACAACATAAGTGAGAGAACATAAAAATCCAAGAGGATTAAATATTAGGCTCAGAACAACAGTAGATCAATAAAGATGATGGAGGGTAAAAGTAGTGCTAGAAAAATAAAGTAAAATCTTCCACCACTCTTCACTTGATTATGGATTTATCATCTGAAAGGAGTGATTAAGAAGCCAAATCCACTCATGAAATCTCTCTTGGCCATTTTCAAGCATTAAAGGCTTAGAGCATGTAGATTTATGATGCTGAGTGACTTCTGTCCCCATTATTTCTTTTCCAGCGATCAAGGTTACACTGATCTAATGAACAGCCACTAGAATGTGGTTTTCTCAAGCAAGCCAGAGTGCAGAATTCAGCAAAAACATCAGATTTCTAGCACAACTGTTTAATTTAACTGAAGTGGACTATGAAGCACTGTAAACAAAAGAACATCACTTCTGCAGTTTGTCAAATGACCTGTCCTCTGTTAAAGGGCAGACAGATTGTGTGTACAGTGGAGGCAGGAAGTGCTGGGAGACCACAATAAGTGAACATACCTTTGAACCCATTAGGAGGAAAGTAAAAAGCTTGTTTCAAAACTCTTACCCAAACTGTTGGGTAGTCAGGACTTCTCCCCTTTCTTCCTTCTGCATCTGCATTGCCTTCTTTCTTTCAATGTTTGCCAAAGTAGGAAAATTCCTAGAAGAAAAAAGTATTCACTGGCTCTTAAATGAGTCACTGTACTTTGTCAATTCCCCCTTTACCAAAACATCATCTTCTATAAACGCAACAGATTTTTAAAACATTTAATGGAAGTTTAACAGACTGTTTCCTTCTTAAAAAGACATTGGTGAGGATAAGAAACATGAGGGCATTTATACTTATATAATGAGATGGGGGAAAAAACAACCCATAAAAATCCTACCAAACTGGCATAATTAGATTTATCAAACCATCAAACAAGCTACAAACAAGCAGTTTGTTACGCTTATGGACCCTCTCCCTGCCTCTACAAATAACAGCATCATTTAGTCCCACAACTTCATAAAATCATAGAATCAGAGGAGTTGGAAGGAACCTCCCCTGCTGCAGCAGGAACACCTAGGGCAGATCACACAGGAACACGTCCAGATGGGTCTTGAAAGTCTCCAGAGAAGGAGACTCTACTACCTCTCTGGGCAGCCTGTTCCAGTGCTCTGTCACCCTCACAGTAAACAAGTTTCTCCTGATGTTAAGGTGGAACTTCCTGTGTTGTAACTTGGTGCTGTTTCCCCTCATCCAATCACAGGGCACCACTGAAAAGGGAGTGGCCCATTCCTGACATCCACCCTTCAAATATTTAGAGACATTAATAAGGTCCCCTCTTAGTCTTCTCTTCTTAAGACTAAACAGTCCCAGGTCCCTCAGCCTTTCCTCATATGACAGATGTTCCAGTCCCTTAATCATCCTTGTAGCCTGTGTTAAACTCTTTCCAGCACATCCCTGTCTCTCTTGAACTGGGGAGCCCAGAACTTTGTCCAGATGTGGTTTCACTAGGGCAGAGTAGAGGGGGAGGAGAACCTCCCTTGACCTGTTGGCCACACTAAATGCATCCCAGGATACTATTGGCTCTCTTGGCCACAAGGGCACATTTTATTTTTGTGTTGCTTCAATTGATGTATTTGAATGAGGTAAAAGGTACAACATGCCTTTAGCAAACCAACTGCTAAGTTCTTTTAAGATAAAAAGAAAAAATTCTAATAACAGCTCCTGGGTACACAAGATTCCTTTAATATGACAGTTAAGGAAGAGCACCCAAGTTTCCTCTCCAGCAATATTCAATATTGCGCTGGCAAACTGACCTCTAGTTCAACAAAATTACACCCATTTTCAATTCCAGCTGAAAAATTGCAGAGTCATGCTTATGAAAACAAAGTTACTGTTATTACCATCTCCCAAAACAGCCCTCTCTTCCATTCTCCACCTTCCTCCCCATCCCTCCCTTCAGATGAGCACTACGCTGGTTCTAACATGCAACGCCTGCTGCAAATTACCATCAAAGCCCAAAGACGGCTACATCTAAATCCCTGTGCTTTGAGATAAAGGCAGTAAATGAGCAACACAGGCACAACCCCCCCCAGCTTCTGGATAGAAGCACAAAATATAAATATTTGATAAGTCTATTACAATGGAGTAACAAGAAGCAGCTACTCACTGTACAGAGCGATCATAAAAATACATGTACTTTTCTTTAAATATCTAACCATATCACATGCATCTTCACTGTTTTACAACATGAATGTTAAGTGTTATGTTGATGCAGGACAGCTTCTACCACATACCAAGGGAAGAAGATGAGAAGCATTTCCTAAGGGACACACCTAAACAACACTACAGAACTTGTCCCTTTTAGGAAGATTTGAACATGAGCTGTCAATGCATATTTTCATTTGGTTTCTCCCAGAAATCCACCATACAGCTCAAGTGAGCACAGGAATGTGTTGATCTTTGCTCTTCCCTGTTTGCTACATTCATTCATCCATGTTAAGACACTCCCAGCACACAGCACATGTCCAATGAATTATTTATATCTCAAGAGCTTTGGATTGACAAAGACCCCTCTGCTTGGCACCTCTCTGCGGTTTTAGGATAAGGTGCTCTCCTTCACATAAGTAAGGCTCACTGGAGGAGAGGGAGCTATAAAAAAAGTAGTTATGCTCAAAAGAGCCCAAAATGTGTCTTAGAAAAAAATATTATTTTTTTTTAAGACATCAGGGAAGACCCTTAATCCTGCAGCAAAGGAGTCTTCAAAGTGCTCCTGTAGTTATGCTGATTGAGGACGTATTCAGACATGCTCTCACAACATGATTTGAGACGTGACTGCCTCCCACTTTCATTCCTATGAGTTACCACTCCCTCCACCAAGCCACCATAATGGACTCCATGAATGCTTTCAGCTCGATTCATTGCCAAGACAGACAGATTTCTCCTAAACCACCCTTCCAGCTGACACAGGCAGTAACTAACAGCCAAAGAGAGCTCAAGTCATCAGTCTGAGTACGCCTGCAAAAGCACATCTAAAGGCACCTCTAGTGGCCATGCTTATTTTCTCCTGCTCTTTTCAAATGTTAAACAGCATTTTACTCCACTGCCTTCACCTTGTGCAGAAAATGTACCTATTTTGACAGCACATATGCAATGTTTAATCTCATTTACAATGAGCAAATAAGCACCTGCTGGTTTACTCTTCCATCTAAGCAATTGGTGAGCAGTAAGCTCTGGACACTGAAGTCCACAGGTCACCAGCCTTAGTCCAAGGTTGGTTCAATCCTCCCCACATGCTCTGCTGTGTGACAACAAGGTTGGACCACCAGTGGGCCGTGGTGGGACCTGGCCAAGTCAACCCCAGTTGTCCCTGCAGTGGGCAAGCAGATTAAAGAGGCATGGACCAAAGTTATTCACCCAGCCCCTATGCAACTCCACAACTCATGAGGTACCACAGCCCCCCAGCACCAAGAGGTCTGTACCTCCTAGAATCAGCTAGATCTACCCATGGAGGGAGCAAAATCCAACTGGATTTCTACCTAAGCAGAGATAGATGCCTACAACAGAAACATTCTGGTCTTGAGGCATAACATTATGGCAGGGTTTGTGGCTGTGGATAGTCAAGTTTGCCAACTACTCAAAAAAAGTCAAAATTCAAAAAGTGAAAAATTTAAAATATTTTTTTAATATGGAGAATTCTTATTCAGGAAGACTAAGTTTAGGAAGACTGCTCCTGGACAGAGATATGACAATGCAGGAAAAGCCTATACTGAATCTGTCCACATAAAAAGCCACGTTAAATCCAATGAGGTGACTTGGGTTTGAACCCTTCTGAGAAGACATGCCATCCTCCTCCCCCAACAAAATGAGGTTCTGAAAATGTCGCCTACAAACACCACTGAAGTAGAAGTAGCCCAACTCTTACGTCCTGCAGACAGCTTGTCAAAGCTTGAAGAGAGACAGCTTCATCAGCCACCACAAAGGCTTTGTGAACCTAAGCAATGTATTGTAAAAGAGAGAGTAAAACCAGAATCTGGTGGCTTGGCACAGGAGATTTCATGAAGGAGCCAGTACTGCCCAAGAAGGCAGCCCCATTTTGCAGCAACTGCAGTTTCCAACCATAGACACATCTGTAAGGCAAACTGGAAGGTTTCCAGTATAAATTGTCAGTGTAATAGCAGAAAACTGGTTTTCAGGCTAAAATAAGTCCATTATATACACACTACCAAAGTGACATGCAGGTAAAGGATACTCTAAGCTTCCAGAAACAGAGAATGGTGACATTGAGCATAATCACTAACGTGTGCCTTAGTGAATAGATTATTTTTTCTTTTTCAATAAATGAGTGCACCAGCCAGTGTCATACATTTTTTATAGGCCAGCATACTCCTATCTTGCTCACATAAACATCAGAGTAAACTAGCTCTTAGCAAACAGTGGAAAAAAACAGAACTTTGCCAATGTCTAACAAGAGAGAACTGTTTCTACAACAGTTTACACACTGAATTTCTGAGTTGTGAGCTACACACATTTATCATCCTTGCAGGAGCAGTGCTGGGATCAAGTTGCCTTAATAATTTTTTGAGCTGGTCTTAATTGCATACACACAACCAACAGCAAAGGGGACACAGATAGCCCAAAGGGAACAAAGATGTCCCAACAGAGAGCTGATAAAATCCTGTTTTAAGACTCCCAGGCATTTTATCAAGCATTGCATCTCCAGTGCAATTTTGCCTTATGTCAGCTGAGGCAGTTTTACTGCTCATCCATCCCTGCAATTCAGAGCAAACTTTACTGCACCTGTGTTTACATCAGTCTACCAGCACATTCCTTCTACTTTGTCTCTCTGCTTTTACCAGGTACTAAGAAATAATTTTCTTTATTACATATTTAAATACTATAAACACAACACCAGGGAGGATTCCAAGCTACTCTAGGATTATCATTATTCAACTAGAGAACTACAAATTAATTAAAAGTAGTGCAGTTGACAATACTGGCCTTCATTAATTTAACCACATGCTCAGCCTGTGAGATGCACTGCAAGGAAATACAGGAGTCAAACCCTAAGCAAACAAAAAAAACCACCAACAGATTAAAGAAAAGGGGGAGGAGAGGGAGAATTTACAAGCAACACTCAAGATCAAGAAAATACTCCAATGTCACATTAGGACCTAAAAGAAAAGTAAGATTAACAATTGCTTTTAACACTAGCAAGAATGTGAAGGCTGCTCTAATAACCTTTGCTCAAGAAGAGCCAGTAAGAAACAGATGGTCTGGCAGAGCTCTAACAGAGATCTAGGACCCAGATCTCACTTGGGAAGAACGGAAGACAGCAATAACTCATTTTGACACATCAAGGAAATGCACTCTACATATTTCCCTTTAAGCTCATGTTTAAGAAAAAAAAAAAACCAAAACATATGCTGAAAAAAGCACATTTCTCAACACTTGGAAGGGACAGGACAAATCAAAACAAGGAAAGTAACTGTAATCACCAAAGTCCATGTCAGACTTCACAACCATCTGCCTGCAAAACATTAGGGAAAGCCTGAGATCCCATGCAACTTCATCTCTACTCCTGTTTGATTAATTAAGAATCGCCTGGCTCAGGAGGTTCAATGGGCCACAAACTATTAAAGAGCCTTTTAGGTAAGAAGACATGAAGGCTGCAGCAATGAACAGGGCATTGTACACAATCAGGCAGGAATACAGCATTCTGACCCAGAGATAGTCGCTCCTTACTAGCTCTCCCTCTTCTCCTCCCTGCACTTTAAACACAGGCTCTTTATAGAAGATTTTAAGCCCCATACACATCTGAGCAACACAGCAGCTAATTAAGAGGAAAAATCTCCACTCTGCAAGTAATTATTTGTAACAGCTGAAAGAACAAGTAAGACAGGAATGTTAGGGATGCAGCCCAGAAACACACCGTTAAATCACTGCAACATAATTAGAAAAAAACTGCTAATGACCTTCTTAGCTCTGACTGGAGCTTCTAGAATGAAAAAGGCTTTTTCCTTTTGCCATAAACCAAATGCTTAAGAGCTCAGACTCCCTCTGGTGTCCTTATTTTCTGTACAATGCAGTGTTTACCATGAGTCAACAACAGACCTTCAGTACTGATGCTTTGCTGGCGACCCAATTAACACTTCACAGAAGTTTCAGTTTGGTTTCTCTCTTTATTCCTTTATTATTGTTACTATTTAGAAAAAATAGTCTGTACAGCAAAGAAGCCGTACAAAGAGTAACAAGTCACCCAGGTCCTTTTACACTCACTCATCCATTACAGCCAAGCAAGATGCTCTGAGGACTGAAGTACCAAAATAAAACGAAGTACTACTCCATCTAGTGGCCTCGGCTTCGAAGGTCCTAATCCCTTATTGCCTTTCTTGGTTGACAGTTGTGCTTACAAGACTTTATTTTTATTTATTTTACTGTGCTGCGGTGAACAAGGGCTTTCAGCACTGTTGTACCACAGCCAAATTACATTAATCTGTAAAAAAAACAACAGTGCCCACCATGAGATTCTCTAGAAACTCACTCTGAAATTGTTTTTGCTATCAGCCTTACAAATTACTGTGAAGGTTGCTTAGACTCACAGCACCCACTCCCCGAACAAACAGTATCTAAAACATTCAAATCCTGCTTCCCTAACATGCTAGTATATAGCAGAGTATGTCCTGACATAACCACTTAAGTATCATTTCAACACATAAACCTTAGCACCAACCACTAGACAGGAACTTCCTCAAACATCTCCCATAACAGAAGAGTATGAAAAGCCGAAAATCAGCAGAAAAGACTCTGCACTGAAGTACTGACATTCTTCCTTGGAGCTACTGTTAGAAAATTAAGTGTAGGCCACCAGACAAGTCAAACCTAAGGACATTTTGGGCTTTGCTAACCCTGTTAACACTTTGTACTCTAAGTGGTGAGCACCACAATTGAGGAAAAAAAAAAAAGACAGTAATATGTGGACCAAAAGAAAAGGAAAACCTCAAATATCTTTCAAATAAAAGGAACCCTGGGAACCACTCATCTGACACCAAACTTTTACTTGTACATGCAATTTTTTTTGGTCAACTATGGCACTGCAACCACGGGAGAAAATAAAGTTTTTGTTTCTGTATCAACAAGAGCTACTTTTTTTTTTAAAAAAAAAAACAAACATCTCCCATAACAGAAGAGTATGAAAAGCCGAAAATCAGCAGAAAAGACTCTGCACTGAAGTACTGACATTCTTCCTTGGAGCTACTGTTAGAAAATTAAGTGTAGGCCACCAGACAAGTCAAACCTAAGGACATTTTGGGCTTTGCTAACCCTGTTAACACTTTGTACTCTAAGGGTGAGCACCACAATTGAGGAAAAAAAAAAAAAGACAGTAATATGTGGACCAAAAGAAAAGGAAAACCTCAAATATCTTTCAAATAAAAGGAACCCTGGGAACCACTCATCTGACACCAAACTTTTACTTGTACATGCAATTTTTTTTGGTCAACTATGGCACTGCAACCACGGGAGAAAATAAAGTTTTTGTTTCTGTATCAACAAGAGCTACTTTTTTTTTTAAAAAAAAAAAAAGAGGAACCTACATATTATCTGCACTTATAAAAAGGAACAGCTGGTTCAACAGTTGACTGTTGTGATATGCTGACCTAGCAGTAAGACTTCTTTTTGCCTTTCTGAAATTTCAGAAAAAGCTGAAACCATGTCCAAAGGGATGTTAAAATTTGCAGAGCTGAGCTTACAGGGGGATAAATTTTGCATCTCAATACAGCAAAAAGTGATGGGAGGCCTTAAAAAAAAATCTCATACCATACATTCCACTCCTTTTTCTTTTCTTACATAGTCACTATATAAAAACTTAAGGTTCAAAGCAAGAATGCATTAACATTGCTTTCTGACAGAAATGCAAGCTGGATTAATCAGTAACACAATCAGACAATTGGGTTGATTTGCATTTAAAAGAAAAAACAACAAACAGGTAAGTAGTACTCTACCCTAGCTCATCACCAGCAATCTTGATATTAAATTTGTATCACTTCCCACTCTGCTTGTAAGACACTAGCTCCAGGAAACAAAACCCATGTACTTTTTATCACAAGACTATACAGTGAGGAAAGCCTCCAGCATCTTTCACCTGCTGAGAAAGGGTAGATTTAAATCTGTTCAACTTTGAGGAAAAAAAAATAATTCAGTGGGATAAGGCTTATGGAAGCACAGCATGAGTTTTTAAACACTTCTGCTGCTCAACAGAAACAAGTTACACCACTTCACATCATAGAATAAGAAATAATGAAAAATATTGCTTCACATAGAAATTTGACCTGGCACCCTAGGTACAATGTGAGTTGGACCACCTGAGATAGCATAATTCACTGATTCTGTTCTCTTTCAGTAAAGAAGTCTCAAGAAATACAGAAAGTTCTTAAAAATTAGGAAAATACCCTGTTGGGGTCCACAGGGACAAGTTAAGCTGTGGAAATTTGCACACAGGAGGGTGTACTTGGTTTATAGTCAGTAAAGTAGTTCCAGATTTCTTAAACAGCCATGAAAACACACACATCTCTGACCTAAAATGTCTCAGTGATCAGGCTAAAAGGAGTTGAGTTGCCAACCAAACATGGGGTACTAAATTAAACATTGGGAAACTACTTCCTTTCTCACATTTGATATACTGCCTTCTACTATGACCATCCCAGTGATTCCAGTCTCTGCAACTTGCACCCTCCTGGCTCAGGCATTCTGACAGAGACCACTACTGCAGGAGTGTTTTAGAGTCAAAGGAAGAGCAGCAGCAAGCACAGACTGCTGCTGCCTTTCAGCCATTTCCTAATGATCACACAGGGAAAAAAAAGGCAGTAGAACAAATTCACAGGTCACAAATCTTACTCACTTTTTTCTTTCTTCTCTCCACCGAGCAATCTCTTCTGGACTATCTAGTTTTATTCTTTTAGCACCAGGTGCATGTGCCTAAAGAGAGAACATTTCATAGGCATTTAAAAGGGGAATGAAAAAATCCAAAAGGAAAAAAAAAAAAAAAAAGCACCGTTCTGTCACCTATAGTAATATCACACAGTTTTCATCTCCAGCAGCAGTAAGCTTACACACAGCAATTACAAAGTCACTTCAATTTTTTTTTTTAAAAAAAAAAACCAAAAAAAAAAAAAAAAAGCACCGTTCTGTCAACTATAGTAATATCACACAGTTTTCATCTCCAGCAGCAGTAAGCTTACACACAGCAATTACAAAGTCACTTCAATTTTTTTTTTTAAAAAAAAAAACCAAACACCACAGTATTCAACATATTTTCATCCACAATATTGTCTTACAACAGATTCTACTCAGAGGTGATACATTTTCCTTCCAGAAGGACGACCAAAGGGATGACATTGAAGTTAATGCAGTTTTTGCTGCATTAACTTATTTTGGGCCCAGCAGGATACTTACATTCCTCCAATGCATCTGAACTATCTTCTCATGTGCACTGAAAGTGCAACCTTCTTCTGTGCACTGCAAGATAAGGGGGTGAACTTCAGACACACCAACTTAAGCAAACAAGCTACAAACAAACACTCAAGCACACTTCAAACTCAGTCAGTGACAGATGCCTGAACAGTTAGTTATACAGAACTTTTAAGCCACCCAGTTTGAAAACAAACATGACTGTAAAAATAGTAAGAAGGGACAACATACTTTTAAATTTAATCTCAACTGAGAATAATCAGTGAAGCCAGCTAATCTGATAGTTGGAGATAACATTAAGTTAACCTAAGAGAAAGATTTGAAAGACTCTCCAATTTCAAATGTTGATACTTATTTGCAAAAAAGGAGTGGATTTTTAAAATATTTTTTCCACATTAAGTCTCTCTACACAAATTTTACATGTTACACTGCTGTCAATGAACTAATTCCTACCACTGAGGTGACTTAGCAAGACTTCACAAGACATTAAAAGTACTTCAGTAATAAAATAAAAAACCCAACTGAGACCTCTGCTGCATGCAGCATTCAGAAACAATCCCTTATTAGCAATGTTTATAGCTCTGGAATCTCACTGCTAAGTCTTCCATTCAAAGAGTGACTACAGCTACTACTTATCAAACATAAAGTTAAAAATCAAAGTGTAAACAAAAGAAGCCAAACCTGTTTATGTTGTGAAATATGTTCATCATACTTCTCCTGGTTTTTATAGCCACGGTCACAGGTATCACAATAATGAGAGAAAACTGGCTCTTTTTTCGTTTTGTTCTGGGGAAAAAAAAAAAAAAAGAAGAAAAAAACTTCTCTCAAGACTGCATTTAGAAGACTGCAAGGTATTCTTGCTTTTAATGAGGTGTGAAACATTTATTGAGTATTTCTGCTAATAAAGCCATCAATTAAAACACATTTCAAAGATAAGCTAACATAACATGAAAGTAAAGTTCAAATCGCTCCTCTCCCAAAAAAACCTGCCCTGCTCTCAGCTCTTCCCACTACCACTTTTCCATCAATTATGGCTTCTGCAAACACACCAAGCTGACACAGATTTATCAAGGGCTGGGAGGAGAGTGAGCCCTGAGTCTCTTCCCTAGCAAGTCAGACCATGCCTGTTCCCACAGAATTGCTCAGAGGACAGCAGAGATCCTTTCTTTTCCCACTACCCACATCACAGTGATCTGGCTGTCTTGCCCTGACAATATAACAGAGAGCTACTATAATTTAGGCACTCAGGCATCACCTTGGTGAAGGAAACCTGTGTTAGAATTTGGTTGAAATGCGTATTTCCTTCAATAGGCTCCAGATCTGCAGACTGCCACACATCTGCTCCCCTGTAAGGGCAGGCATGTTTGACATTGGGGTCTCTGCAGCACCACAGGGTCATGTCCCACACAACTCCCACAATCACAGAACAACAGAATGGTTTGGGTTGGAAGGAACCTTGGAAGATCATCTAGTCCAACTGCCCCGACACGAGCAGGGGCATCTTTCACTAGACTTGGCTTTCAGCACTTCCAGGGAGGGGGCAACCACAGCTTCTCTAGGCAACCTGTTCCAGGACCTCATCACCCTCATGCTCAAGAAGTCCTTCATTATGTCAAATACAAGCCTACCCTCTTTTAGTTTAAAAGTGTTGCCCCTTGTGCTGTGACTCCATGACTTATACAAAGCCCCTCCCCAGCTTTCCTATGGGCCCCCTTCAGGTACTGGAAGGTCACTATAAGGTCTCATGGAGCCTTCTCTTCTCCAGACCAAACAGCCCCAACTCTCTCAGCCTGTCTTCACAGCAGAGGTGCTCCAGCCCTCTGATCATCTTCGTGGCCCTCCTCTGGACATGCTTTTCTTGCTCCATGCCTTTCTTGCACCAAGGATCCCCGTCCATACCTTTGGCCTGTTATTTTTGTCTGGAAACCGTTTGCTAAAACCAGGCACTTGCTCGCCTCGCCAGTTCTGGGAGAAACTGTCATCTCCACCTTCGAGGGGGAAAAAAAAAAAAAAAAGAGCCAGTTAGTGACTGCCTGGGAGGGGAGAGCTCGCTGTGCTGTGTGACTGCCTGGGAGGGGAGAGCTCGCTGTGCTGTGTGACTGCCTGAGAGGGGAGAGCTCGCTGTGCTGTGTGACTGCCTGGGAGGGGAGAGCTCGCTGTGCTGTGTGACTGCCTGGGAGGGGAGAGCTCGCTGTGCTGTGTGACTGCCTGGGAGGGGAGAGCTCGCTGTGCTGTGTGACTGCCTGAGAGGGGAGAGCTCGCTGTGCTGTGTGACTGCCTGGGAGGGGAGAGCTCGCTGTGCTGTGTGACTGCCTGGGAGGGGAGAGCTCGCTGTGCTGTGTGACTGCCTGGGAGGGGAGAGCTCGCTGTGCTGTGTGACTGCCTGAGAGGGGAGAGCTCGCTGTGCTGTGTGACTGCCTGGGAGGGGAGAGCTCGCTGTGCTGTGTGACTGCCTGGGAGGGGAGAGCTCGCTGTGCTGTGTGACTGCCTGGGAGGGGAGAGCTCGCTGTGCTGTGTGACTGCCTGAGAGGGGAGAGCTCGCTGTGCTGTGTGACTGCCTGGGAGGGGAGAGCTCGCTGTGCTGTGTGACTGCCTGGGAGGGGAGAGCTCGCTGTGCTGTGTGACTGCCTGGGAGGGGAGAGCTCGCTGTGCTGTGTGACTGCCTGAGAGGGGAGAGCTCGCTGTGCTGTGTGACTGCCTGGGAGGGGAGAGCTCGCTGTGCTGTGTGACTGCCTGGGAGGGGAGAGCTCGCTGTGCTGTGTGACTGCCTGGGAGGGGAGAGCTCGCTGTGCTGTGTGACTGCCTGAGAGGGGAGAGCTCGCTGTGCTGTGTGACTGCCTGGGAGGGGAGAGCTCGCTGTGCTGTGTGACTGCCTGGGAGGGGAGAGCTCGCTGTGCTGTGTGACTGCCTGGGAGGGGAGAGCTCGCTGTGCTGTGTGACTGCCTGAGAGGGGAGAGCTCGCTGTGCTGTGTGACTGCCTGGGAGGGGAGAGCTCGCTGTGCTGTGTGACTGCCTGGGAGGGGAGAGCTCGCTGTGCTGTGTGACTGCCTGGGAGGGGAGAGCTCGCTGTGCTGTGTGACTGCCTGAGAGGGGAGAGCTCGCTGTGCTGTGTGACTGCCTGGGAGGGGAGAGCTCGCTGTGCTGTGTGACTGCCTGGGAGGGGAGAGCTCGCTGTGCTGTGTGACTGCCTGGGAGGGGAGAGCTCGCTGTGCTGTGTGACTGCCTGAGAGGGGACAGCTCGCTGTGCTGTGTGACTGCCTGAGAGGGGAGAGCTCGCTGTGCTGTGTGACTGCCTGGGAGGGGGCTGCGGCCAGGCAGGGGGCGGGCTCTTCTCTCAAGGGACAGGGCGAGAGGTGACAGCTTCAGGTCGTGCCAGGGAAGGTTTAGGTTGGATATTGTGAAAAATTTCTAGATAGGTGGTCAGGCATTGGAACAGGCTGCCCAGGAAAATGGTTGAGTCACCATCCCTGGAGGTTTTTAAAAGACATGTACATGTGTAACTTGGCAGTGCTAGGTTGGTGGCTGGGCTTCATGTTTTTAAAGGTTTTTTTCCAACCAAAACGATTCTATTCTTTTTTATTTATTATTTTCCTTTTCAAGTCCTGTGTGTGCTTTCAGGCTGTGCTCTTCAGTCGCTGTGAGTGGGAAGTCAGTGGG